TCAACTTCCCAGCTTCAGGACTTTGGACAAATCTTCCAGTTTTTCTGGGTCAATTGTTTCGAAGGCTGTAAAGATAAGACTCACTCAAGTCATAGTGAGGGTGAAACGAGCTAATGTTCTTGGCAGAGGGGCTTGCCCAGTGGAAGCACGTAACCAGCATCAGCTACGACTTAACTCAAATTCCAAAAGCACAATCACATGATCATGGTATCTCCACATGTGCTGTAGATCACTCTCACCCAGCATCTGAAGTACCCAATATAACAGGAAGAGAATTTCTTGTGGCCTAAGTGTTTAAACAATATTCTACTCCTAAGTTCTGCTTCTGGAGAACAGACTGAAAAAAATAGGGTATCTTTAAAAATACAGAATATAAAGTATCCAAATAATATGTCCTCATTCTAAATTCTCAAGCAACCAAAACCAGGTTTGCATCAACAGCTTCTGTTCCTTGTGCCAAGCTTTCTGTTTGTTCTAGCACAAACATACAGAGGATGTCTGACCAGAGAGCCCTCCAATGACAAAATAACTTTCATACATTTCTGGAGATGCTAACCACAGCAAAAATTCCATTATGACTAGAAAGTCAGCCTCCTATTTCCACTTCAATCCAGATGTTGGGAGATTCCACTACAGCTTGAAGCTTGTAATTACTTTTTTTCTCTATCAATTCAACTTCCAAAGACTTCATTTCATATTCCTAAGGCAAATGTGGGGAGGGAGGGAAATTAAACATTCAAAATGTTTGCGAATGAAATTAAACTGTAGCTATATACCATTATCTTCCATATTAAAATTATTTAATTTTTTTGTGTTCCTTCTCTACTAGATTCTTATCATTCATTTTATAATTAGGTTTTTAGTTGTCTCTCTCCCTTCCCAAGAATAAGGACAATTTCTTTCTATTCAGGCCGCTTCATATCCCCACAGGGATAAAACACAGCAGGCACTTAATGTTTTTGAATGAGTTCATGGGTGCATTGAAGGATGGATGGATAGATGTTCCTAAAAATAAAGAATGGCTACCTTGTGATTTAGTTGCTGAAAAGCCGAATCTACAGGCAACAGCATTTCATTGCTGTCCTTCAGAAGCTTTGCCACTGCTGTAGCCAATTTCAATCTGTCCTGTTTGAGATCTCACCTTCTACACTTACGGCTCAGTTAAGATCTTTGCTCTAGAGAAGCCCCTCCGACTCTGACTGAATGTTGAGCTGATGCTGCTATGTCCCAGCATGCCACAGATCTGTTACATCTTCTGAAGCTCTTCCATGCATCCTCAACCCCTCCCTGGCTTTTCCTCTACCTAGCTCACTGCAGCAGCCCCAGCTGACCTGACTATCCAGTGAGCTCGTACTACATTCAGATTCAGCCAGGCCACAAACAACCCACTAAGTCTATCTTTAGGGCTGGCAGGCACCCCAAGTCTAAGGCTCCCTCACAATAACCTACCCTTATCTCCATGTAAAGCAAGGCTTCTGAACAGGTGCTATGCTGTTCTGGATTACATGATAATTATCATGTATTCTGTTCACTGAACAGACATTCAGTGAACATGGATGATAAATTCTAGATGTCAAATAATAAGCAAGACATTCATCCTCAAAGAAAAAAATGTCCCCTTGCTACATCACTTTCAAATGTCCTACAACATAAACGCAAACACAAGCTACTTATCAAATAGTAGTAAACCAAATTAGCAAAAATGTAGCTCTCATCTGGTCAAGACAAAATTGTATTCTACGCTGTTAGAAAATTTGTGAAAATAATTAAAGATGATATATACATATTTTGTCTATTAAATGTTTCATCAGATAACCAGAATCAATAAGCATTTTTTCAAATGGACAGTTTTTTTTTTTAAGTTGTAAATTGTGTGAGTGTGTGTCAGCATGTATGGACAAACACACATGTAAATGTGAAGTCTAGGAATGGGTGTAGAATCCCTTAGAGACAGAGTTACAGGAGGTTCTACGCCACCTGGCAAGAGTACTGGGAACTGACCTCAGGTCCTCTGCAAGAACAGTATGTGCTCTTATCCCCTGAGCCATCTCTCCAGCCTCCTATAGACACAATATAATGGAACAATACAAAAGTTCCAACAAATAAATAATATTGTTTGGTGGAATACCTGCTATCACTAAAGACAAATGGGAATATAAGTCAATAGGAAATATCCAACCTGATGCACAAAGAACAAAAAGGGCAGGAAAAGTCAAGATCGTTTGAGACTTGTGGAACATGTTACAAAGTTTATCATATGAGCAATCCACTTCTAAAGACAAGAAAACAGAACACAAGCAGAAAAACAAATTGCAGAAATGGGGCCAAGAACTTTCTAAAACTAAAAGCCATGAATGCCAAAAACAAAGTGCTATGACTACCAAACAGAAAGAAAAATAACGCTTTATATTTTAGCAGAGTAAGACCACTTTAAAAACCAAGAGCAAAGAAAACAATATTAAAAGCTGTAAGGGACAAGGGAATTATCATCCAAAAAAGTGAAAACTAACTTCAAAAAAGATGGTCAAAGTTGTAAGATAAAACTTTAATAGGTAAAAACATCAGAGACATAATTTTATTTCTTTACATTACTTATTTGTTTTAGGTGTGTGTAGATTTATATCTATGAGCACGCATGTGCCCAAATTGACCACAATTGGGTCAATAATTACAAAATGACTACAAATGACCATGTGAAGGTCAAAGGAAAATTTTGGGGAATCAGTTAAAAATATCCTTCAAAACAACTGTGAAATAAAGACATTTCAAATAATAAACAAAACCTATATTGTCCTGTGAGAATTTGTTCCCTGCAAACCCTGCAAACTGGGAAAAAAAAGCACTAATGGCAATTCTTAGAGAGGAGACTAGATCAGTGGATCTCAACCTGTGAGTTGTGATCCCTGCTCAGGGGAGGGTGTCACATATCAGATATTAATATCACAATTCATAACAATACCAAAATTACAGTTATGAAGTGTCAACGAAAATAATTTTGTGGTTGGGGGTCACTACAACATGAGAAACTGTATTAAAGGGCTGCAGTGTTAGGAAGGTTGAAAACCTCTGATCTAGATGGAAATGATAAAATAGGAAAGAACTTAGATAATTGCAAGTTACATACATGCATAGATATAATGGATAATGACTACATAAGACAAAGCACAGTGAACATCTTGTGTGATGCATAATATGTCTAGCAACACGGCAAACAAAAACTGAAGTTCCATATACTGGCACTTACCAGGAAAAGGCAAATTAGATGAATATTTAACTAACACATTGAGACCTCTTAGCATAATGTCCAGTGCCCACAGGGAGAGCCGAGGTCACAGACGGTCCTCACATCTGTCTGCACATTTCACATGTGCTCCTCACTCCTAATGACCTGCTTCTCAGAGGGCTGTACACCCTTGCATGGAGCATGCACGCACAGCACCACATCACACACTGCTTTCACCCTGGATGTGCAATTCAAAATCACACTCATCAATATACAATGTGAGGTGTGCTGTTGAAGACTCTAAATGTTAAGCATCCATTTGGGCTCATTCACCCCAAATGGAATGATACAAGTGCCTGTACTTTGGTTTCCCACTGACTAACCTGACATGGCTCACCTCCGACTATTGTTACCACTGTTGGTTGATTCATAAATTAAAGCTGAAAGAAAACAGGGAAGGCGGTTGGGGTCAAAAACAGATAATCAGCTTTAATGACCAACTAATTATATATACTGACTCTCCTCTATTTTCTAGTAAGCTACTCAACTCTTTCCAGACAAATCCCCCTCCCCTCAAGAGGCACTAGTCTACAAAATGGGCTTCTGTCTTCTATCAGAAATGTTCCCAAGAGCATGCTAACATGGACCACAATTGGTATGTGAGCTTAGCATGCCAGGACCATAGGATCTGTCATTCCCAGCCTGACCCCCCCCCTACACACACACACCTCCAACCCCTGTTATGTACCAAGAGGAAATTAACTGCCAGTTCTCATGAGAATGACATATTGAATAAGTACTCAGACCAAGCAATCTACTTCCACAGTCAGCAAAATGCACACAGGTTGTTCTCCAACAACACAAGAATGCATGACTGAATTTACTGTGAGCCTCCCTGTTTTCCAGGAAGCCACTGAAGTGAAGCAGGTATCCAGTTTCTCTGAGGATGACTCCCCCAGGCCTCTGTTGTTAAATCCAGAGCTAGAACCCAGAGCAACTGCACTTCTGGTACAATTACTGGCACCATCCACTCCCTGCCAAGAGAGGGGACTTGGCAGCTGAATAATGTGGCTTTCATTTTACATTTCTCCTCCAATTAGCCGACAGTACCAGTCAATTGGATGAATGAAACAAAATGCAGAGGAAATAGAAATACCTCTGTGTGGTTTGCAGAGCTGTGCCTTTTGAACAATGATGAGATGAAAGGCACTGAAAAGCAAATTAGGGAACCCAGGGCAACAGAAGGGCAGACAGCAAAAAACCCACAGGTGGCATGTATACTGTAAATGGTGCAATGAGATATTTAAGCTTATCACCCATCCCACCTACTGTTTGTTTTACTAATGGCAAGAGAATTAAATTGCTGCCCCGGGACTCACTCACTGCACAGTCTAGCTGGGACTTATTAACTTTGCACAACATACACATGTAAAAGCAAACACCCGCCCCAGGACTGCAACCTCTCCCACACTGCTCTGCAGTCAACAATCACAGACAAGTTACTTTATGCTATGTTGCAGAGTGCTTAAGGATTTGTTATATATTTTTTAAAGGAGACAAAGAGTTTACAGATGAGCTCACAGCATCTGCAAAATGAAACACATGCAAGTGAAATGAATAGAAGACCATCCAGCAGACAGCAGGAACATGGTGACTTAGAATGACTCAACCATGAGAGTCATTTGACTGGGGGCACAATCCTAGGTGAGTTCTTCAGTATTGTTCTAGTGGACTCCACTCCATTCCTCATGAGTTCTGGCTTGGAAACTCTAATTACTCTCCAGGAGTTGAGCAAAATGAACCAGTGCCTCAGGGCCATGGAGGGTCCACACTGAACCACAGCAAGGTTCCACACCTCTGCCATGCTCACCCATGTTCTTTCAGAAGAAAGGCTAATCCTACAGTAGGCTAAATCACAGCCACTCGATAGTCGTGGAAAATTCCACATGGCCGTACCATGGATGAAAAAAAGATGGCCAGTACCCTTACAGAATGCAATCAAAGACAAAGCACATATAATAATTTATTTCCTGGACTTCATCTAAAATACACTAGTTCATTCTTTATCCCAGGGTTCTATGGTTGACCATTAATATGAACTAAAGCGGGTTTGTGGACCTTGTGACTGTGACTGCCAAATGTATGAAAGAGGAAGCCTCCATTTGCAAAGCAGGGTTTGTCATTCCCAGTGGCTCATTTCACAACTCTCTGAAGAATATTATTCTCAGGCACGACACTGTTCACCACACACTGGACAACTTAACAAGGTACCACTACTTTCCAGGTGAGAAAACAGAGTGAGCAAGGTATTAACTGAAATGAAGCTGAGCAAAAAAGAAAAATATAAATAAATAAATATATATATATGTATATATATATATATATTAAAAAGCATAGTGGAAATGATGGCCCCTTCCAAAACATACTAAAATGTTTACTTTGATGCTAACTGATAACTCCTAAATGACACCTTATTTATCTGTTCTGCATAAATACAGAACATATGCAAATTTTCAAAGTTCCTAATGCATGTTCAAAAAGCCCTCAGATAATTTTACTTCAACTATCAATTAATCAGCCAGGAAGTTGTTTACCATTAGGTTATCTTTGTGTACATATTTATAATAAGCAAAGATATTTTGAAAGAGCAGGAAAGAAATTGCAGCGAATGAATGAAGACAGTACATGCATGCATGAGACACTTGGTTCAGTCTTCAGAACAGTAAAGAAATATTTTAACCCTTGTAATAAAATTTGTATTCTGATTTTTCACTAATAAAGATACCTAGTCCTTTGTACTAATATGGCTGGGGATGGAGCTAATAAAAATCAATGGGTATTACTAGTCTCACCATTTTGATGATTTTCTGTCTGAACTGGCTGTAATATCCTATCGATTTGATTGCTCCCTCAATACAATTTTTTTAAAAATACAATTGCTCCCTCAATACAATTTTTTTAAAAAAATGAAAAATGTGCTTAAGAACTTCTTCCAATTGACTTCTGAAACACACAAACACACACACACACAATAAATATATATATATATATATATATATATATATATATATATATTTCTGAGAGGGTCATCAATATATGAGTCAGGAGTAAGAAAAGGGAAGGGGAATAAATAAGATAATTACCAGTACAGGTAAGAACAAGATCCTGGCTAAACATGTGATAGACAACATTTTTTTAAAAAACTACCTAACATGTCTCAACCAGACTTGGTGGGCCATTTGCTATATCTGTGGCAAATGATCAACTATGTTAACTTTGTCCGGATGGCAGAGAAAAAGCCACAGGAGCATGTAAATAAACCTGTATGGCTATGCTCCAGTCAGCCTTTCCCTGAGCACTGGCATACCATTTTCATGTGTCACAAAATACCACTCTTATTTTCTAACTGTCTAAAAATATAAAACCCACCTTCAGCTCACCAGCCAGAGTCTGGATTTGACTCACAAAGCCATTCTACATCAAAAAGGACAGGAACCTGTGAATCTACCAAAAACAAAAAAAAATGCCATTGTGACACTCCAAAGGGATAAGCGAAGGCAGGAAAGGCTCCAGTGGACGTGTCGATAATAGGACAGGAGCCTTCAGAAGTTAATTATCTATTCCCATCCACACTGCTCAGGCCCCTAGCTCTTGAGCCTGCTGATAAAATTCCAGTCAGTTTCCCTGTCCTTGAGCTGTACTGGAAGATATGGGACAAACCATACTGTCATCCCCACTGTCAGCAAGAATGATGGGCCGCCATTACCTGATTCCAGACCAAAAAGGAAAGTGTCAGCGCCTGGCTACCTGCTTATCACACAGCAAAGCAATTTGTTTTCTACAGAGGAAACAAAAGGACCTAATTTCTGCCAATGCGAAGATCAATTGTGAAATTTACTGTCAATGGAGTGGCAGTAAAAATAGGCCCATCAACATGCTATGCTCCAAGTTGGGAACAGCAGGGCAATAACTCAACCTGACACCTCAAACAAACCCAGAGGAGAGTCACCATGCTCTCCAAAGATGATGGTTCCAGGCCCACAGGTGCCTCCACAGATAGCAAGTGAATCCAGCTCATTGTTTAGATGCCTAATCAATTTCACCAGAGAACAGCTCATATGAAAGTGTTTGTTGGTTTGTTTTCATTAAATCTCTCTGTGTGTCTCTGTGTTTGTATATCTGTGTATGTGTTGTGTGTGTGTGTGTCTCAATGTGTGTGTCTGTGTATCTCTATCTCAGTGTGTTTCAGTGTCTGTGTGCGCGTGCAGTGCATGTATGTGTGTGTAGCGGTCTCTCTCTGTGTGTATACATGTCACAGAGCTCCGGAGGTCAGGGGACCACCCAGGGCATCAGTCCTTGCCTTCCATCTTAGTTGAGACAGGATCTTTGCCACTGCCACATGGATGAGCATCTGGTCCACAACCTTCCAGAGATTCTGTCTCTACCTCTAGTTTTGGCATAGGAAGGCTAGGATTAGATGAGCTGTTGCATCCAACTGTACACAGTTCTAGAGAACCGCAGTCAGGCCTTTCTGCTCACACAGTAAGTACAGTGTCACTGAGACTTCCCCCCCCATCTACTTTATGAGAGCCCCCTTGGCTGATATCAACGTTACTGATAACGAGTTGCTGTTACGTTTAAAAGAAAGGAAGCAGGAAGATGTATTGCTTCTGGCTATATTCTCATTATTCATCGAAGATGATTACTTTTTTAAGTTTAATGTTTTGGTTTTCTAATGTTTTGGATCTCTGAGATGAAGTAAAACATACTTGTAAAGATTCAAATCTAATTCACTTGCTAATAGTCAGAAATGGCCTTAAATGAGAGAGAACTTCATTTTTAAGCAAGCACACAATTTATGGTGATAACAGATGTATAACTAGGTGTGTACTTGGTGGATGTGTTAACTGATCTTTCCTAATAAGGACATTAAATAGAATGTGGTTTAAAGTATAGCAAAAAAAAAAAAAAATTAAAACCATCTTTAGAGTGATAAAGGGAAAAACCAGAAAAGGAATGTAATTACAAGTACTTCCTGAATTCTTTCAGGGCTGAAATACCACAGTTAGGAAAAGGAACCCAAACACAGTGTTTCTTCTGTACGGATAGAGAGTCATGCATGTTATAATTTTTAATTCACATTTTTGTGAATCGAAAGGGCAAATACGGAGTTTATTTTAATAATCATTTTCCTGGAATTTTCACATTTTGCATGCTTAAAATCACATAGAGAGAAGACAGAATCCGGAATATTCTGAGTCAAGCAATCGTTATATATCAGCTTCTCATCCGTCCTCCAAAGACGCTCGATCCCATCACTTCCCACAGGTACAAATGAGCGACTCTGGGTTTGGAGAGGTGCTACATCATCATTTGCTTCAAGATCTCATGGAAGGCTGGTTTGATGGATCCTCAGCTAACTGTAATTTCGACAGCACAACTAAAATGGCAGTGGCGTAGTGATTCTATACTGCCATGCTAGAGCAACACTTAGTCTCATTCCAAGAGCGAGGTCAGTCAGGTACCACACAGCCGGCAACACTCACGTGGAGGTGAGTCACTTCTGGTGACTCACTCAGTGCTGCAACACCTACCTCAAGAACAACACGATGTCTGGAAAAATTACCAGCAACTCATCTATAGTTCAGATACCAGCATACATATTCTAAATACTCCCTATCTTAGTTTGGGTTTCTATTGTTGTGAGGAGACACCATGGCCATTTAATTGTGGTGGCTCGATACAGTCTCAGAGGTTCAGTCCATCTTGGCAGGTAGCATGGTATCACGCAGGCATACCTGGTGCTAGAGAAATAGCTGAGTGTCCTACGTCTTGCGAGCAACAGGAAGTCAACTGACACATGGGCAGTGTCATGAGTATAAGAAATGTCAAAGTCCGCCCCCATAGTGACACACTTCCTCCAGTAAGGCCACACCCACTGAACAAAGACACACCTCCTAATAATGCCACTTCCTATAAGATTATAGTATTATGGAATTATGGGATTATGGGGGCCAATTACATTCAAACTACCACAATCCCCAAAGTCACAACATCCTCTGAAGAAGAGTGGGGTTTAGAGCAACGCCATGGGCTATCATTAAAAATAATACACACTTTTGTAACCACCCCCTTGTTCCTGTATCTCGAGAATAAAGTTTTTTAGACAACAGAAGATTCACACCCACAATGGACAGAGTCATCACATTTTCTTCAACAAAACATGTATTTGCACACAACTGCTTTGGTTCACTCCTGAAAGGAGACAATGGCTGACAATAGCTATTGTCTACTGAACTGGGGTTGATCACCTGACACAGTACCTGGTGAAATTTCTCAAGAAAATGACTGTGTTGACAGTGGCAATAGATTAGGAAGACACTGAAGAACTGCCTGCACAGGCAACAAAACAAACGAAGGCAAGCAGGCAAGGCGTGGGGCAAACAGAGGAAACCCTCCTGTCACCAATCTCTCAGGTGCCCCTGGTCCCTCTGTCCGCTTCCCTCGCTCTCACCTGGGCATATATGTAGCAGCTGCTCTCAGAGGACCCCCCTCTTCTGAAGGTAACTCCAAAATTTCTCCCTTCCCTTCTCTCTATCTCTGTCTTCCAGGCCCCCCTCACAGAACAAGACATCCATCCTGCCCTGCCCAGCCCTGCCCTGCCCCTGGTGATTTCATCAGAACCCTCCTCTTACCTGTCTAATTTTACCCCACTTGCTCAGTTTCTCGGAAGAACCCTGAATACACTGTGTTAAATGCCAATGGATTCCCCATGTTCTCAATTAAAGGATGAAAGCCGTCCTCTAGATCTACCATGCCCATGACCACTGTTCCAGCCTCGTGTTAAATACTATTTCCATCACA